AGCTGGTGCTAAAATTAACATTGGCCTACCGCTTGTACTAATAAAGTGCCAAGGGCCTAAGTGGTCACCTTAATATTAAATATATATATATATATATATATATTAGCTATAACATTTCTTCCTTCGATATACATAACATAGTCTAGAGGTCTTGAACCTATCTAGCTAAAATTTAGGTCTAAAGTAAAATGGCAAAGATGTCCGAGCTTTATCTTTCCTTTCACTTAATATAATATATCATTGTAATGAAAATTTTGTAAATAATATAATTATGTATAATAAAGAACTGGAGGAAAAGACCTCTTTTAAAAAATAAAAAAAAAGCTATTTATCGATCTATCAATTGAAGATTGATCTTTTCAACTCCAATTTCCTCACTGATATTACTATATATTCTTTGGGTCTTTGACTTCAATAGGACTTGATCCATCACGATTGTTGGTAATACTTCATGTTCTCAGCTGCCTTAGCCCAAGTTTATTCATTTCTTGTTTATTAACATGGATAAAATGGGCTAGATATGACTGTTTCACTCATGTGGAGATGATAATAAAGCTAATTTTGTAACAGTAGTTATTAGGCTCTTTTAGAACTTTTATTAATGTCATGAAATATATTAATTTAATCCTCATACTATTACTATAAAGACCAAGTTAGAAACTAGTAGTAATATGTATGTTATTAACTGATTAGGCAGTTAAAATATATATATAGCAGTTCTTCCTGCAAATCCCTAACACAAAATTTACTTAAATTCATCCAACAGAAAACATCCATTAATGCAAAATTTTATTATGCAATTCTAACTTTACTTTCTAAGTAAACTTGTCTGGCACACAAAAATACACATAATATTCAAATTTTATGTCCTTAGCTCTTATATTCGTAGAGTAAAGTCCTAAAATCATTTTTCAAGCAAAAAATTCAAACTTTTGCTATTTACTCTTTAGTTTTATTCTAAATCTATGCACTATATCTATTAAAAGTTGTTCTACACACTTTTCTCATTATAACAAGCTATATTTCATCTCTGTAGCTTTAAAATTGATAAAGCTAGCTTTTAAGGAAAAAAATTTAAACTTTTGCTGTTTACTCTTTAATCTGATTTTAAACTTCTATACTATGTCTATTAAAAGTTGCTCTGATCATAACAAGCTGTATTTTATCTCTGTAGCATCAAAATTGATGAAGTTACTCTTTAAACCATTTTACCTCTCTTTTACTCACTCTTTACAACTTTTTTTATCTTTTTTTTGCACTTTCCACTATACACGATTCTTGTATAATATCCAATCACTTCCAAATTTATTCAAATTAACTTTATATTACAGAAATATTAATTTTCCTTTTATATTTTTCATTCTAACAATCAATTTTACACAAATTTGCTAATCATTACACAAAAGCTTATTACAGTCAGACCCCATAAATGCATGTCATTGGGACCAGCCCTTAAGCGTGCATTTAGGGGGTTGCAATTATAGAATAGCCAATAAAATTGTAGTAAAAGTACGATTATGTGAATGCTTATTGGCCAATAATCAGTTACTATATATATTTACTTAATCTGCATTTCAAAGCTTCGCATTTTAATAATAATAGATTTCTTTTTTAATCGTTATTTATTCGTGACTATAGATATACATTATTTTATTCATATGATTCGCAGAACAGTATAGCTAAGCAAGGTTAGTAAGCTATTATGAGATTACAAATACTTTTTCTCTTATAAGCAATTCTTTATTAAACCCATTATTTAAATTTGTTGATTTAAAGCATATACTGTGTGTATATATGTTTCTTTACTTTAAATATGTTTTTTTACTTTAAATAAATAATTTAATTTGTTTTCTCCTCCACTATCTTTACTCATAACAGATTGACTAATTTCAAAAAAAAAATTAAATATTTAAGAGCGACAATTAATTTATATGATTTATTTATATTCAACACTTACTTGTATAGTTTATTTTTTTTTATTACAAGATTAATCAACCAACTCAAAATATGTCTCAAGATTTACTTGTCTGAAAGCTGAACTTCATAATTTTCTAATTGCTTTTTGTAAGCTTGACAATGCTTTATCATGTTTTGACTAAGCTGTATTACAAAGATCTTGTTGCAAAAGTATTGTTTTAGTAAGTCTATAGCATTTAATGCTTCATTATGAGTAACTTAATACATTTCTGTACTGTCATTGTTCTTATCACTTTTATCCTCCTCAAGTTCTGGGTTAGTAGTTAGATTTACTATTTCTTGGCTACTTAACACTTCATGTATTTCTGATTCCTCTGAATAGTTGATAAATTCTTCAAGATCTATTACATTTCAAAAATTTAGTGCTTCGATATCCTCACGTAATTCTTTGATCAATTCAACATCACCATCATTAATGTTAAGTATTTCAATATCATCGTCGTTGCTATCATCATCATTATCTGGGTTAACTGGAAGGATTCCTGTATATAGAGTTGTAAAATTACTAGAAGTTTACACAATTATATGTGATTTTATAGGATTATAACTTTCATAATTACCAGTATTTTGAAAGCAATTATGTACTGTTTTTGATAATACTTTCTTCCATGCTTTGGCTATAAACCTAATGGCAGTAAGAATATTCATTTTATTGTTATTTTCAGATTCATATTAATCAAGTAACCATTTTATAAAATAACTTTTGTAGTGACGTTTAAAGAACATAATAATTCCAGCATCTAGAGGCTGAATACGAGACATTGTGTATGGTGGAAGAATATGAACAGTTGTGTTTCAAAGATTCAAATTGCTATAAGAATGAACTTTTGCACCATCCATTAGAAGAAGTGTCTTACGACCAGCCATCTTCAAATCAAATTCTTTAAGCCATTTTTGAAATAGGATTGTTGTCATCCATGCATTAGCACTACTTTCATACGTAACACCAAGCCTGTTACGTTTAATACCTTTAAAACAGCATGGGTTGGGAGACTTTCTAATTACTAATAGTTTAATTTTATCCATTCCATCAGCATTAGCACAAAGTGTTATAGTTAATTGTTCTTTATTCTTTTTTCTTCCTTTAAGATGAGTTGTTGCCAATGTGGTATCTGGTTCAAAACTAAGAGAAGAAAAAAACAATAAGCTAAGTATTAAAATTTAATATTATTTATCCTTACTGATAAAACAACCCCATTTCGCCTATATTATAAACATCTTTTAAGTCATATTCTCCTAATAGTCTCCTTAATTTAGGAATTGCTTTAGCAACAACTTCATCATTTATGGATGCGTCTTCACCATGTTTTGTTATTTGGCTTATACTGTGTCTCCTTTTAAATTTATACAACCAGCCATGCGAAAATTTGAGGCCATTTGGTATATTTAACAATTAAGCAAAAGATTTTGCTTTTTCAATTAGAATGGCATTACTTAATATGATTCTGTCTTGGTTTTGAAGAATCCATTCCAGTAATGAATTTTCAAGATTCAGATATTGTACAGTCTTCTGCCTTTTTGCAGATAGATTGTCTTCAACGTTGTCCTTATTTTTTATTAGACAGCCAATAGTTGAGGGATGAACATCAAGACTCATATTTTTTTTCACCTAATTGACAAGGTCAACATGACTAATGTTTGGATTTTTTTCTTTAAATGCAATAATTTCTTTTCTTTGCTGATTGCTAAGAGTAGTTTTTTCTTTTCTTTTATTAGAAGACATGTTATGGTTTATATTTTACAGGTACAACAAGTATATAAGTTTTTATTTAAAAAAATTTATTCGAGTAAAAACTTAATTATTTATTCTTTTTAAATTTATTTAACTATAGGACTTTATCTAAACATCTAATCAATTGCAACAATACTCCGTTATATCCGCTATATAATTATACTTTTTTGTTATTTTCATATGTTATTAAAAAAATTAATATAAGTAGGCAAACCCACAGAGTGTTAGGGTACTTCTGCTTTAACTAAACAATTTTCTGCAATTATGTAGATTCTATAAATACAGAATTATAAAAAAGAAAAAATTATCAAGAAAAAAGAAATCCTAATATGTGAATTAAAATAGAGGACCTCAATGGTGTTAATTGAGTTCAATAGATACTTATCTATTGAGCTTTTATTGACTTTCTTAAGAAATAAGAAAATTACCAATTCTGCATAATAGGCATTATCTAACTATCTTTATTGTTCTTTTTACAAAATAGAAGCAGAATTTTTGCACAGGTTCACTATCAATGTATCCGAAAAATTAATTGGGAAACAATGATTGTATAAGAACTAACTTTATTGAGAAGTAATAATTATATTAGAAATTATCGTGAGAACTAATATTATGCATTACAATTTCAAATTGTAATACAGATTAAGATAAGTGTTTTCAAGTTTTATTAATAAGTAAAATGCTTCACTAATAAATTATTTATAGATATGCTTACAATAATTCATTCCTATCTATTGTTTAAAAGAGCAAGACCGGTATAATATTAAAAGCTATTAGAGTAATCAAAGTCAAATGATCACTCTGAAAATAAGTATTACTTTTTTAATTAATAGAGGTGCTTATTCATTAGTTATTTAAAGACAGACAACACACTGATTTTGCGATTGATTGATATTGTGATCAGCAGATAGTGCAATTTAAAGTTTATTTCACGGTGCTTATTTATAGAGCATAAATTTTTATTATGTGGGCGCTTATTTACTGTAGGTGTTTGTGTTTTATTATGTTTGAAATTTGGCAATTATATTCTAGCTAGTCAAATCACTGCAAGTGCTATATTGTAATTAAGGGATTTGTGTTATCAAACTGTATAATAAAATTCTATACTTATAGTGTAATGCAATGTAATCATTTGATATTAGAAACAATATATATACGTTTGCATAATCTTTTACATAAATTCAAGACATACATATGGGAAAAAATGTGTTATATTAGTTTTTTGGCATGAATTGCATTGGTGCTTTAATGTTTTATATGATAGTCAAGCGATAAAACAGATAATACTGTAATATTCAATTATAAAGCTTATTTATACAGTATAAAAAAATCCTTAATTATAACAATCAGAAACTGCAGCTCTTATTTTATACTATTCCTGGGAATTTTCCTTTATTAACCCACGTATTATATGTAAAAGATATTATAGCTATATACATGCATTTAATAATCTAAAAATCTGAAATTTTTATTGGTTAATAGTCACATATATGCATTTATGGAGGGAACCTACTATAGTTGGAATGGAAAAATACAGTGCAATTGCAGAATAAAGAACATGCATTTATTTATAAGTCCTGTCATGAGCCCAATATGTTTGTATACATTTAGAGGGGTGTTGCATTTAGGAAGGTTGCATTTATGGGGTCTGACTGTATTTATACAATAACCCTTTTTTTAGCTAACCTTATTACCTCAATACCCTAAATTTTCTGCACATGATTTTCATACAATCTATACCCTAAAATTACAAAAAATTGAACATTTATAACTTATATTTTCATATATATTTTTCTATATTTATATACTACTAATAATACAAAATCTTTAAAATTCAATAACTTTTGATTTATCTAACCAATTTAGACGATTTAACTACCAAAATGATGGCCTTTTCAAGACACTTCTAATGAATCTAAAATCATCTAATTCTGATCACATGATCAAAAATGCTGTCAAGATTTATTTCTCAAACTATCTATATTTCTTTATTAAGGTTTTTATTTTTTCTTGTTACTTTTAGTATTTATACTCTAAACTAACTATGATTCAACAAAAATTTCCTCATCATAAGCTTTCTAGTAACATGCTTAACTGGTTTCAAGCATTTTCAATT